CTTTTGGTTATCATTATATAGTCTTACTACAATATATTAATAGTTATATCAAATATTTAATATTAATTAAATTATATATATATCATTATATTAAAAATTTATATTATATATTCAGTATTATATTATTATATATGTAACTAATTTAAAGTTATTACAAATTATTTATATAATAGATTATTTCACTTATATTAATCTTTTAATATATTAATTATATTTTTATAAAAATAAGAAAAGTAAATTTAAAAATATAGTTAAATAAATATTATTTTTAGAATATATTATTAAAAAAAATAAAATTTGTTTAATTCTAATAAAAATAAAAAAAGTAAAAGAATTTCTGATATTATATAATTTAATAATATTATAAGAATTTATTAAATTAATTTTATATTATTAAAGATTTATCAAGAACTTTATTGAAATTATAATATCTTTATATAAATTAATATAAAAAAATAAATCTTAAAAATATAATAAAAAGTATTTAAAATTTTAAAATAGTATTTAATTTCAATATTAATATAATATATTTTAATTTTAATAAATTTTTTTATTTTTATATTAATATTTTAAATTAAAACTTGAAGAAATCTTAATATAAAAAAAGTAAATATAAAAAAATATATAATAATATATATTAATCAAAGAGTTTTACTAATTAAAAATAATTAATTTATAATAAAACTAGAATTTTTGATAGTTATTTAAATAATCAAGTTTTTTAATCTTATCTTTTATCTTAATATTTTATTTAAATTTATCATAAATTATTTAAAATTAATTTGATTAATAAATAAATCAAATTCATCAGAAAGATTAACATGATAATTAATAATATTATATAAATACAATTTCATAATTAAATATAAAAAAAACTTATTTTATATTAACTTATTATTTTGAATTCAATATCACATCTTCAATCAAAAAAGAAGAAAAAAATATGAACTTGAAAATTATTATAATTTTTTTAATTTTCAATAATTACCAGATAACTTAATTATTGTATTAATAATATTTCAATTAAAATTCAAATAAAATTAAATAATAAAATTTAAAATTAAAATAAAAGTTAACTAAATAAATTCAATTCAATTTTAAAGAATTATTTTTATATTAGTACAATCAGAAATAATTATAAAAAATGAATTATTTGAACAACAAATTATTAATGAAATCCAGCAAATCATTAAATATAAAATATGTTCTAAACAAATATTTAACTTTTTTATATTATCATTGTCATAGTAATTATACTAAGAATTTTAATTAACTTTATAAATCAAAAACTATTACCACGTATTTGGTTAATATTTTTTAATCTTAGATACCTGGATCTTTATTAAAACGGATTTTGTTGAGTCGATAATTCTATTTTACAAAGTAATCTTCCAACATTTTTAATTTTTGAATTGCAATTTCTGTGATGGCATTTGAATCTTTTGACATCCATAAAATTAATCAACCAAAAAAGATTTGCGCTGTTTAATTCAGAACGCTTTATCGAATTAAGACTGAAGGTGATGGTGACAAAAAATCAATCAATCATACAATAGATATTATTTAGTCTCACTGCGTGTGTAGAGACTCATAATAATATATACCAATGTTGATAAATGGTAATTTTTTGTCACAATTCTCCTTTGTTGCAATAAATAAGCCAAACCAACCCATTAATTTTTTTTAGCCAGACAAACTCATCTTACCGAATTTACCATTTGCTTCCTGAATATTGACGATATTGTGTGTATTGATGGCACTATTATGGTTATGATGGTGATGATTATTACTATTTTGATCGATGATCTCTGTATTGTTTGTAAGAACTTGTTGTAGTGGCGTGGAAGGTGTTGAGCTAGTCGAGGTTGACATAATCCCAATTGGTGATGTCGATCCCATTGGTGGCGATGGAACAGGAGGACTACCGCCTAGACTTGGTGAGACAGCACGTCGTTTTGGATTGAAATATGGTTCAAAACGATCATCAGAGGCTAAGAAAAAAGGGATCAATTGAGATTTTTATAAATAATAATAAGTGACTCGTTTCCAATATAATAAATATAATAGTATTACCTTTTCGTTTTATCCGACCATTAGGCCATGGACCCGCAATTGATGAAGTTGGTGATGGTGTATCTTGGCGAAACTTTGAAGGATAATTTAATTATGGGATATTGATTTCTTAAAATCATTTAATAATATAATAATACTAACAGACATCTCGACTTCAGGATTTAGTTTTGACGCGGTGTATGGCGGAGGGGATGGTTGGACATCACGGAACTTGCTCCACGTAGCAAGAAATTCTTGGGATAATATTTTCTATTTCGTGAATCAAAATTCGATAAATTTTCTTACTAACTAAAGGGTGAACATGAAAGGATCATATACCTCTGATGTGCCTGAATCGGAATCCATATATTTTTCACTCTCGTTCATCAATACTTTGGTAGTTTTATACTCTTGCTTTATCTCTGTTTCTAATGGTTTGGCTTCTTCCTGCAACTCATGTACTATACGTTGAAACGATTTTGTTTTTGGCTACTCAACAAATAAATGTGTGCAATTTGAATAAATAACAATTTGAAAGGGAAATCGGCAACCTATTAAAATATATTTTTTCAATACCAATAAAGACGCTCTTCTTGCTCGAACAGCACGTTGCATTGGTGATGGCTTCTCGTTATTTCTTTGATCGATGATTGAAGGTGATGAGGAAGAAAAAGCTAAATTATTATTGTCCATATTCACGTCCATGCTTAGTCTTCTCATAAATTGAGGACTAGATGCTAATGATATATTGAGCTTGGGAGATGGTGTTGAATACGAATGCCCATTATAAGTACCATTATTATTGTTAAGATTGTTATTATTATTGCTATTGTTATTGTTGATATTAAGGTTGTTAATATTCTGGGCGGTAGCTTGTGATGAGGAAGCTTGAATAGGAGGTGGTGTAGTTGGTGTACTTGGACGTGACAATGATGATGGGCCTCGTGGTGTAAATGTAAACGGAAAAACAAACGACGTTTTATTATTATTATTATTTTCATCTTCATTCCCAGATTCACATCCGCTTGATGGTGTCGGCGTATCAAGCTGCATCGACATGTTCGACACATTGCTATCACGTCGTTGATGTGTCGGTTCGGCAGCATCATACATTTGTATCGACATCGCCGAAACATTACTATCGCGTCGACGATGGCTGATGACGTCTTCAGGGCTAGCAGCAGTATTACTGCTATCCAAGGGAAACGATGAGGAACCAAGCCCATGCGTATTATTATTATGCGCAATTAAGAAGTTGGTGTTCAGCGATGGAGGCATTGGACGCGCGATTTTTCGAAGTAGTGGGGTGTGCGAGTGATATTGATCAACTTGTTCAAAATATGATGGGTGAGATGAAGTCGCGTTTTCAGATAATATACCAGTATTACCGCCATTATTGTTGGCAATAGTATTATTGATGTTACCAGACGTATTACCACCACTTCCGATATTCCCTTGTGCAGCAAATAATCTACCTAGATCATTTTGTGAAGCAAATCGAAAATTCGGTGCTGCTATTCCTCCCAAAGAGTCCATCGAGAATTTAAAACTGTTATTGTTATTTGATTGATTAATATTATTAATGCTTTCTTCATTTTTATTTTCTGCGTTGCTTTCACGCGCGTTGTTATGCGAGCTCTCTGCCATCGGATGATTTTTTATAACTTTCTATGAAAATTTGTTACAGAGTTTTTACGGCACATAAAGGTAGTACTTGCTTTATAGAATTCTATTAGTATATTTCGAGAGTTTAGGAGCTTGGGAAGGTTACAAGCTTTGCACATATTATTTCACCGAATTAGGATTGTTGGGCATGATTAACAAGATCTCGTTCTCACGTCAATTAATTAGCCTGAAATGGTAAAATCGTAGACTAATTATGACAATATGATGATGTGTAATACATAAATCAAAACGTCTGTTCATATTCTATAAAATTAGCGATTTCGAACTCTCGACTCTAAGATTTATTTTAATGCTCGAATCGCTGGTCGCAAACGTTCTTAATCGTGTCCTTGGGGCATATGTATCTAACCTTGAACACAACCAACTTAACATTGCAATTTGGACAGGCATGTCTTTATAATTGAACGCTTGAGCAATATCAGAATTGGCATTATTTGCCATTTTCATGTATCTAACACTTTTGTGTTAAAGGCGATGTTGTCCTAAGAAATTTGCAGTTAAAAAAGGAGGCTCTTGATAAATTTGATTTGCCTATTGAAGTATTAGAAGGTTTGAAATCCGTAAATAAATTTTAGCTTTAGATATATTGTAAGAAATGTTGAAATTAAATAAAATTTTTGTGGTTCTAATAAGGATATTTGGGCGAACTGACGCTAAATATCCCATGGTCAAATCTCGGGAATAAGCCTGTCAAAGTCTTTATAAACAATGTCTATCTTCTTGCAGTCCCGAGGGCCGAATCAGAGGTTAATTATTTACATGATGCAATGTCTTTGTGAAACTTAATTTACTAAAATTAATGTTGATTATGCTATAATCCATGTGCTTTCGAAATTTCAGTACGATCCTGAGGAGGAAGAGCGACGCGCTCAACAACTTAAGGAAGAAAAGCTTGCAAATGCAGAACTATTACAGACACAACCTGGTTCAGATATTTCTGAGGGTTCAAATCTTTTTATATATTTCAAGTCTCATATAACAGAATAATCGATTCTTATATAAATTTTTAATCTTTTCGTGTTTATTTTCGATAAATTGATAGAGGACGATCAAAAGAATCAGTCTTTTGTAAATCAACTTGTCACGAAAATAATTGACAATCTTCAAATTTCAATAAACAATATTCATATCCGATACGAAGATAAACTCAGCGATCCTGGGGTATGACGTTTGCCTAAAACTCAGAATTTCTCGAATGAATTACTCAACTTCTAACTCATTATATTACAGCACCCTTTTGCCGCAGGGTTAACGCTATCAGAATTTTCTGCAGTCTCTACCGACGCAAATTGGAAACCAACCTTCATCGAAGGAGAAACCAAAACAATACACAAGGTATCAATCATTATCATATTGGATAATAATGTATTTATGTATTGTCTCTACAATAATTAATTTACAATGTTTTAGTTGATCACATTAGGTTCTTTGGCTATTTATTGGAATACAGATTCAAGGTCTCTTGCGGGAAATAAACTTGTGGATGCAATTCGTTTGTTTACTCAACTGGTTCTTATTTTTATTTTTTTTTGGCTATATCCTAATTCATTACGCGTATTGGGTCCTATCTTATAATGTTTCTATTATTTATTTTATATAGATTGCATCCGAAAAAAATGTTCCGACTGAACATCAATATATTTTAAAACCTGTTTCAGGCACTGGTCGTGTAAGTTCTTTTTATTCATTTTTTATTGTATAGTTTTATTACAGCTTCTCAATTTACCGAATTCATTAGGTAACGATGAACAAACAAGTTGACTTAAATACACCGAAAAACTCTGTAACCCTTTTATTTGATGAACTGGGATTTGTTCTCGATGACGAGCAATACCGTGATGCTCTATTAATGATTGGATTATTCCATTTCTATCTAAGGCAACAACAGGTAGTTTAAATAACATAGCATAAAAATGCAACCTATTTGTTACATATCGATTTCTATAAATTAAATAATCTTTTGATATATTTATTAAGTATCGAAGATTCCGGCCACTCAAAGAAATAACACCAAAAAAAGATCCACGTGCATGGTTCCAATTCGCGATAAACTGTATAGTTTCAGAAATTCACGAGAAAAATCGAAAGTGGACGTGGGAGTATCTCGCAGAACGTCGAGATGATCGAAAAGCATATATTGAATATTATAAGAATAAAATGCTAGCACGATTGCCAGTAGACGTTAGTACATAAGTTACCTTTTTATTACTTTCAAAATGCCAAGCTAATTTTTTCAATTCATGGGATTTATTTGTAATAAATTTATAGGATTATCCAAAACTCGCAGCCTTAGAAAGAAAACTAAGTTTTGAAGATATTCGTTTTTACCGATCGATCGCCAGATCAAAATTACGGAAAGAGAAAGCAATAATTGGTATGAAATTTCAAATTTTTCATGGGGATTGTTTTGTGTGCGCTCTTTTTTTTTTAATTTGTTATTTCTTTACAGCCCAAACACAAAAAGAACAGCAACGTAAACAGCCACGTGGATGGCTTAGTGGTTGGTGGTATGGAGGACAAACAGATGGTGGTGTAAGTGTCAAATAACCATGATTCTGCGAATATATAACATATTGATTAATTATTTATACAAATAACAACGTTTCTAGTCTACCACAGATACCGATTCTGGATCTGTACTGACTGATGCTCAGCGACAGGAATTATATGATGCAATCGACTTTGACGAAAAAGCTGCTGTGGCCAGTACCATTGATATACCACGAGAGGTAAATTTAAATTTATCATTAGTAGGAATACACAGAAAGTATTAATCATACGAATTCTTTATAATAGGCTATAAAGCTCTCTCTCAAAACACAACTAAAAACCGGTTCTTTCGCACTAAAACAAGACCCACACAGAAAAAATAACACAATATTATGTCTAACTTTCGACAACGTGACAACGAATTTCATTCAGCGTCCAGACTCCTTTCTGGCTGAAAGTGGTCTAGGCAGCCTTGTTGTTGATGACGGAACGACTGAAGGAACGTTATTTCCGCAAATAGTTCGCGTAAAAAAAGATTATAAACCCGACGAAACTTACAATGATTATGGAAATTTTGGGGATCTCGAGAGTAATCCAGCTAGTCGAGTCGGGATTGATCAGAATAACGAGTGTCCTTTCTTCCAGCTTGTGTTTGAAAGTAATCCCTTGGATGGGCGCGCTGATAACGGGTTTTCGATGAGAATGCGACCATTGGAAATTGTGTATAATCAGAATGCTATTGATTCTGTTATACAATTTTTCAAGCCGCCAGATCAACAGTTGGAATCAATAACGACATTGATCGTAAGTATATTATTATTTTTGCTAAATTGCTTGAATTTTTTAAATAATTTTGTATTTCTAGGAAGCTGCGGGTGATACAATTGAAGGTATTAAAGCTCAAACCAGAGCTGGTTTGGAATATGCATTGGAGGAGCACAAAACTTTTGATGTAAAAATTGATATGAATGCACCAATATTAATCATACCCGATAGCTGTACGAGAAAAGATGCTCAGGTGGTAGTCTTGGATTCTGGTCATATTCGGGTACAAAGTAATCTAGTCAGCAAAGAAGTCATAGCTGACATTCAGTCAAAGGCAAACACAAGTTATAGCGATGAGGATTATAAGCATTTAGAGTCATTAATGTATGATCGATTTTCGATAGATCTGTCTTCGACTCAGGTATTTTAACTTACCGTTTTATTTTTAATCTGTTGCATTAAGTTTGTAATATTAATTTTAAATAATACACAGGTTTTAGTTGGTCAATCAGTCGAACGTTGTCTCGAACAAATTAGAAATCCAAACACCAACCATGATCTTCATCTCATTGATCGCATGAATTTACGGTTCTTATTCGAAATGTCTATTTTACCGCATGCATCAAACTTAACAAAATTCAAAATATCAGGACATTTACCCCTATTAAAAGCGAATTTCTCCGATCGAAAGTACAAAATTGTGATGAGAATAGTTGATTTAATTACTCCAAAAAGTGAAGAAGCCAAAGAAACAGAAACAGAACCCGAAATCAAACCTGAAGTGCAAAAATCTATAAAATCTTCGCAGCATCAAGCGGCTAAACAGCAAAATGCGTGGGAACTTGGATACCGAGATTCTCGTGTGATACGTGAAAGATTGGGGCTTTCTAAAGTGGATGCCGATTATTATATTGATAGTGAAGAAGATGATGCTGAGGAGAATGAGTTTTTTGATGCGGAAGAACAAGAGGTATTATTTGATTTTTTTTACCTGTTTTTCAATAGTAAATGATCTTTTATTTAATTTAAATTTCAGCTGCCACAAACCGCAAAAGTAAATCAACGGATATTCGAGTTCAAATTCAAAGTTGACAGATTCTCTACAACTGTGAAAAAAGCAAATCGAGATCCGAATAAGCCAGAAAAGTTATTAGTCGACATGGTGTTAGAACATTTTAATTTAGATTTTGTTCTTCGTCCGTTTGACATGTCGGCTGAGATATTCCTCAAATCACTGAGTATTGAAGATAAAATGTCATATTCTGGATCAGAGTTTAAGCATCTGGCTGCTTCAGAAGGATACGGCAATAGTCAACCCGGCGATTCTAGTAATCTTGTACACATTAAATATGCTAGCGTCAATCCAAACTCGCCCGAATATATGACGAAATTTGAAGGGATAGATCAAAGTGTTGATATAGAGTTATCAACTATTAATGTTATTATTACGCGTAAAAGCATTTTAACATTATACAACTTTCTCTTGGATACATTTACTGCGCCTCCAGGTACACCTGTTTCTGCAGCTTCACCGAATCCAGAGGCGTCATCTGATTCTAATCAGGCCCAGAAAAAGGTACAGCAACAAAGTACTATGCGCGTGAAAGTACGATTAAATAGTATAGTATTTATTCTGAATAATGACGGTATAAGACTCGCAACAGGAAAATTATCACAAGCAGATGTAGCAGTCCTGATGCGATTAAACACGATGCGTGTAGGTGCAAGAATTGGCGGGTTTTCTTTAATAGAAGATATCTCAAACACATCATTCCGAGATTTGCTTACCATCGAAGGAGAGGATATCGCTGTGTTCAAATACGAAACATATGACGAAAGTGAACCCACATATCCTGGATACGACTCTATGGTATATTTGCGTACCGGATCCGCAAGATTAACATTTCTTGAAGAGCCGATACGTCTTTTACTTGAATTCGGAAGTAAATTTGCACAAATGAAAGGTTTATATGATTCTGCACGCATGGCTGCATATGAGCAAGCTGCTCAATTACAAGAAAAAGTACAGAAATTTCATTTTGACATCGTTATTCCCACGCCGATCGTTATATTTCCAATTAGTTCCAATTCCAATGATTTGATTGTGGCGAACCTCGGTGAACTTTCCGCAATCAACAAGTTCTTGCCAAATGGTGAAGGCGGTGGATTCTTAACGCAAATCAACGCAGAATTGAAGTCTATTCGTATGACTTCACAGTTTTATTCAAGGCAAGGGGAACTTCAAGAGTTGCAGATAATAAAAAATGTCGACATTAATTTCAAAATATCATCTTGTGAACATGTTGAAGGGTCGTCGAGACCGGATATGGAGGTTCGTATTTTATATTTTGTGAACCGTTTAGTTTATTTTATTCGTTTTTTAATAAATATTTTGAGAATTTTCATAGATTATTGGAAAAATGTCTGATGTGCGGATGAATTTGACCGAAAAGCAATACAAATCCTTAATGGACTTGTCGAATTCTTTCGTAAAAGTTCTAGGTGGTGGTGGTGGTGGCTCTGAATCAATACAGGAAACACAATCTTCAAGTCAGCTTTCATATAGTATGCCTTACAGTCCCACGCACATGCCAAAACAAACCCCCGCTCCCAAACCTCAAGATAATGAGAATGTATGGACTTCCATAGATTTGACATTTGATGTTCATCAAATATACCTAGAAATTTTTGAGGGGGATGTATCTCAAGCTCAAACGCTTGCAGAAAAGAGTTTATCGGTATTCTCGCTTAATAAAACGGGTCTTAAACTCAAAATGCTTACCGATGGGTCAATGGATGCGGACTTACGTCTTCAATCTGTCACACTTAATGATACGAGGCCCAAAATAAAGAATGTGTTTAGAGAGATTCTGCCTGCGAACAATAAAGAAAGCCCGCAATTTTCAGTCAATTTACAACAATCTGGTGGCACCGAGAAGTTTATGTTGGCTTTTGTTAAAGTGGATAGTCCCAAAATAATTTTTGCGTTAGATCATCTGTTTGCAGTAAGAGATTTCTTTATGAGTGCATTTGATGCGCAACCATCAACCGAAGTAACGCATCCGGAACCCAAGCAAATAACTGCATTAAAAAAATCTGCGACCGAACCATATCCGATTCCGCCACCAAAACCTCCGAGACCTTCACGTCAATCTACTTTTCAATCAGGATCATTGACCCCATTACAACAAAATGCTTCACCACAAAAAGAACCTGAACAAATTTCAGAGGAAGCATCAACTCTATCCTTGAACTATCGTGTAAATATTGCATCTGCTGAAATAATACTCTTAGCAAATCCCGAGATTGCCAATACAGAAGCGATTATCCTCTCGGCTAACCAAATTGTCGTCACACAACAAGGAATCATGGCATTAGGTATCTCGAAATTGGGCATGTTTTTATGTCGAATGGATAAACGAGATGCCACTTTATTACGATGGATTGATAATTTTGATATTTCAATGTCGATGGATAATCGAACATCGAAGCCTGGTCAACAATCCACAGAAATTAATATTGAGGTCACAAATATGATTATGAGAGTATCCTATCGAGATGTCATGCTTATTATGTCAATATTAAATAAATTATCTGAGCTGTCATCACAGTCGGCGGTTGCATCTTCAACTGACGAGAAAGTTTCTGAGATGGAAAGTTCATCCAGTGGAGCTTTGTCACGTTCTTTTGACTATAGTAATTTCAACATGATTAAAAAAGATCAGAATACTTCTGGCGGTGGAACAAACGAAAAACTGAATTTAGCATTAAGACGTGAAAAGGTTAATTATAAAAAGCCATTTATTATTTTTTTTTGATAGAGCTTGTGGTTAATTATAAATTATTTTTATTATAAAAGCTCATAGCAAAATTTCAAGGTACTCAACTTATCATGATTGGTGATGAGCATGATATTCCAATGATAGATATGAATGCAAATGAGCTTAAAATTGATGTGTCTGATTGGTCATCAGAGGTATTATTGTCTTATTATTATAGACGTTTATACTAAATAAACCTATTAACTATAAGTTTGAAATTTTATGACAGATAAAAGTTGATACAACCATTTCCTCTCGTGTCAATTATTTTAACTTAACAAATTCGCATTGGGAACCATTAATAGAACCATGGCAATACACATTACATGTAAAAGCCATCTTTGTATTTGTTTATTTTTTTATACCTTTATTTGAATCTTTTATCCAATACAATCATATGATTGTGTGCAGGCGTCAAAATCAACTAACGAAGGCCTTATAATCGATGTCTCATCTCAAAAAAGATTGGAAGTCAACATCACTCACATTTTCTTAGAAACTATGTTAACTAGTCTCTATATTCTGGGTCAACAGCGAGAAGTAAAATCATTATTTAATAATGCTTATTGTATAACATTTTATCTGCGATATGAATCTAATTTATTGATTTTTTAAAATATTTAGCATGTATTGGACACAGCAAGAGGATCACGTACGCCCTATGTATTACGAAATAGGACAGGTTATGATATGCACGTGTGGGCTGTTTCACCAAATGACAACAATGAAGCAGTTATTCAAAAATTAGCTGATGGTCATGATACTAATTGGCGATTTGACGATTGGCGAAAAACGCGTGAGGTAGGTTTGTCCTAAATATCTTGTGTTGTTCTAAAATTATTTCTCTATTATTAAATTTTATAAAACAACAAACGATAGAGTATGACCATCACGAAGAACATGCTTGGGATCCAATTCGAAGGAGCCCTCTGGGAAAGCATTAAAGACATCCCTGTAGATCGAGAGGGCGAGACACTATATATACTTCGCCCAAAGTTAAACAAAGTATCACATCGATTAGTTTGTGATATTAAATTGAAAGAAAACATTAAATATGTGACTTTTCGGTCGACGCTTGTCATTGAGAATCGTACATTTCTTACTGTCGAAATGATGGTAGTGGATTCTCAAGGTCAAAATGTGTCGAAAGTTTATCAGATTGGTAAGCATTTCTCGTTAATTTTTCTAATGCATGTTAATTTTTTAATTGTATTTCATATTTTATTTAAGCGCCGGGCGAAGATTGTCCTGTGCCGATCGAGTCAACTTATCATCATAAATTAAAATTTAGACCTGAAGGTAAGATATAAACATTAATCTAGTAGACGTAAGATGATGTTTTAATTTTATTTTATTGTAGGCGGATTTGGATACGATTGGAACGTCGCTAGTATATACTGGGAAGATTTTCTGAAAAAAGATCCAATAAGGTCGATTTCGTGTAAATCGATTCGAAAAGAGGTCCCCTTCAGATTTCAAGTAAATGCTCTTTATAAAAAGAATAATCCGATACTCAAGTAAAGAACATCTTTATCTACTTTTTTTTTAATTTAAATTTACAAGATTCAATAGCTAAATTATAACTATACAATGGACAGAGAATACCCTCACATGAGCATCCGACTCAATGCACCCGTACAAATCGAAAACTTGCTTCCATACGATTGCAAATTCCGTATCTTTGACAAATCTACAAAATATGATTGGCCAAATAATTTTTTGAAAAAAGGAGGTGCTGACGCGTTACATTTAATTGAGTTGGGACATCTTTTGTTATTGAGCGTTGAGGTTCAAGATACAGGTTTGTATTTTCTTTGTTTTGCTTCTGTGAAATCAAATTTTTTATTCGAGTATTATTAATTTAATGATTGTGTGTAAAATAATTAGACTTTAGACCCAGTGAATGGGCGATCATAAGTACTCCTAATGAAGATTTCAAAATAGATGATACATTGACGCTTACAGACCCTGAAGGATTGAAATTAAATCTTCGAATATTATATCAGTATGTCTATTTTAACTTTTATAATACTATGATTGTTTTGTAGTAAAATTTTATGAATATTGCCTCAATTATGTTTTTGAATATAGTGAAATCCCAGATTCTGGAGGAGCATATAAATACACTATATACAGTCCTTATGTAATGATCAATAAAACCGGGCTTGACATGGTATTCAAATCACAGTCACTCTTGCAATCAGCGAAAATTGCTGCGGGACAAGGTTTATTTTTTTCCAAAATTCTATATATTTGATTCATTATTATACATAAATAATATTGCATAATAATATATTTTATTATTTTATCTTATTCAAATAGGATGGCGTCGACAAGCTCATCATGTATAATTGTTTATAACGTTCTTGATGTTTTTTGCGGTAGTAAATATTCAATTATTTAGACTAGTAAATTTCATAGGCTATGCCATATATGTTTTCTTATCCGAGTGAAGAAATACGAAATCGTGCATTATTGAAAGTTGGCGATTCAAATTGGAGTAGGGTACAGTATCATTATTATGTCAACTCCTCCTAACCTAAAACAATATTTTGATTGGCAACTTCTTTTTCTATAGCCATTAAGTTTCGAGGCAGTAGGTAGTTTTATGGAAGTAGTTATACCATCTGCTCAACGCATGGAAGAAATCCATATCGGTGTTAGTGTACAAGAAGGCCATCAAAAAGTAAGCAAAATCCCCTTTTTTTCCTCATTAAATATAAATTTTGTAATAATTACATGTTTTTTATTTATAAAATAGTACAAACATATCAAAATCGTCACTTTTACTCCGCGATTTATTCTGAAAAACAATATGAATGAAAATTTGAATTTCCGAGAACCAGGGTCCTCAAATTTTGTTCTTTTGCCCTCGAAAGACCGTGCTGCACTTCATTTCCTTAAACAAGGAGACCTTAAACAATTGACTATTTGTTATCCGGGACTTAGTAATCCATGGTACGATAGAAAATTTTTTATAATTCCATCATTTTATAATATCTCTAATGATCAATCTAAATAAATCTATCGAAAAATAATTAGGTCCGCACCGTTCAATATTAACGAATTGGGTCGTGTTCATGTGAAATTGGGGAAAAAAGACCAAGAGCCTGGACTCATCAGAACAGAGATATTACTAGAAGATGCGACAATATTCATTATATTTAGCAAAGAAGAAGGAAAATGGCCATATCGTGTTGAAAACTTTTCGGATGCTGATATTGTTTTCTATCAACAGGCAAATTAATTTGATATTTGATAAATAATAATTATAAAATATAATTTGTTGAGATTAACTTCTTAAACCGATAGGATCCGCATCGACGTGAATCTTCAGCTTCAAGGCTATCAATGCCGAGATATCAACTGGCACCAGCAAATTCAGCCCCATATTCATGGGATTTCCCTGCTATAAAAGATAAACGGCTAGTACTAAATATAAATGATCACGAAAGAATAATAAATATCCAGGAAATCGGGTCACTAGTGCCATTCAGATATCCGGTAAAAACTTAATTTATCATTTATAGAGCCACTTATTTCTCTTTACAAAAAATATTCTATTGCAAATCTTTATAGTCAAAAGAAGGCGGCCATAAAGTGATAGCTATCGAAGTTGTGGCTGATGGACCAACACAAGTTGTATATTTATCCAACTATAAACAATCTGAAAGTATATTTCGACCTTTATTGCTTTCTTCCAAAGCTTCTACAAAAACAGATACTAGCTCAAAAGAGGACGGATTCGAAGCGGTATTTTCTCTTTTACCATTGCTTATATTTAATTTTATATAGTCTTACTGGGTAATGAAATATACTCGTTTTTCGTTTAGATTGCCGTGGATTCTGTTAATACCCTTCTATTCCAAGTCAAACTTGAAGGAATTGGTATCTCAATAATCAATAAAAGAATGCAGGTTAGTTTTTATTTAGTGACTAGATATTATCTTTATTTTACAAATAGATCATTAACGCTTCTAATTAATGGTTTATAAAGGAACTTGCTTATGCATCTATGCGTGGAATGGAATTGAAGTATAGCGACTCGACGCTATATCAATCAATAAACTTTGTGGTTCGATGGTTACAGGTAAATGATTTGTACTATTTATATTTTAAATCTATCGAATTTTTTATAATTTACAGTATTAATAATTTTCTTAATAGATTGACAACCAATTATATGGCAGTCTCTATCCAATTATATTATATCCAACTATTATTCCTAAAGATAGCAAGGGAGTAACCCACCCTAATTTCCAATCTAAACTTATTAAGGCCAAAGATGATTGTAACTATTTTTTGGTTTTCTTATGAATTTCGGCGTATCTTGATCCAGAATAACCTGATGATTAATCGTTATGATTTATTTTGTCAATAAGCACATGGTGTCATATACATCAAATATTTCTCGATACTGTTGCAAGAAATGACTTTTGAAATTGATGAAGATTTCTTGTTCGTCTTGCTTGACTTCTTAAAATTACGGGGCCTAACTACGGAAGAGGATACAGAAAAAGACTTGTAATTATTTAATTATTTTTTTATTTGCATTCTCTCTTCGATTAGTTTGTCCCGATATTAATTTATTTCTGAAATTAGGCAACTCTTTGACGGAAGTCTTGACATCCCGGAACCAAAATCAAACGAAGGCGATGACCAACTGTATTTTGAAGTATTGCATATTCAACCAATGAAAATTAATATATCTTTTGTGAGAACGGAAAGGATTAATGTTGAGGATAAGTATGTTGGTTTAATAATAAAAAATTCGCTTTAGTTGGAAAAAAGGATTTGTCGCTGATTTTATTCTTAAAAAACTTTAAAGACCTGCACCTCGTAATCCAATTATGTTTTTCTTTAACGTATTAACAATGGCAATTGGAAATATTAATGTAAGGTCCTTTATATTTCTCTTTCTGTAACAATATTTTGAAAGTGCTCATAATATGTTTTATTCTTCTATTCTTCTATTCTTTGCTCTTAAACAGGACGCGCCAATAAAGTTGAACGCCTTGATCATGGAAAATTTGCGAGTTAGTGCGCCAGTGCTCATAGATCGTATTAGACAACATTATGGAGAAGAATTTTTCTACCAAGTATGTTGTTTTTGTTCTCTTTTACTTGTTAAACATGTTATGAAATCTCTTAATTATTTAAATTGAATTTTAATAGGTGCATAAGATAATTGGATCAGCGGATTTCTTGGGAAATCCTGTCGGATTATTCAATAATTTAGGATCCGGCGTGGCAGCTATCTTTTATGAACCATATCAAGGTTTCATTATGAATGATCGACCTCAAGATCTCGGAATTGGTCTGGCAAGAGTAAGTCATAATCTCCACTTAACTACTACAATATTATTCTGGTAAATGTTCTTGTTCTCATTCTTTCTTTCGATTAGGGAACTGCAAGCTTTTTCAAAAAGACAGTATATGGATTTAGTGATAGTGTCTCGAAATTTACAGGAAGTATTGGCAAAGGTTGGTCTTTTCAAAAAAAATTTGAAATGCTAATAATTCAATAAATGAACAAAATATGTAATTATTTATTGTTGTTGCGATCAGGTCTTTCTGCTGCCACATTAGATAAATCATTCCAAGATCGTCGACGAATGGCTCAACTCCGTAATCGACCTAAACATGTATATTATGGTGTCAAGCAAGGAGCAAATTCTTTTATTACTAGCATTGAAAGCGGGATAGAGGGATTAGTGGTAAGAACTTAGTTACACAGTCAGCCTGGATAAGCCAGATTCTGGATAGACAAGATTTTCATAGATTAATCACCATTGCCGTCTTTTCAAAATAGCGAAAACCAATTGAAGGGGTCGAAAAAGAAGGTGCTGCTGGTTTAGTCAAAGGATTTGGCAAAGGGCTTGTTGGGTATTTATTTTTTATCTAAAATTTATGCAATGTTTTAAATATTAACCATTTTATGTAATAAAATATTACTAACCAATGAATGTATCCTTTCTTAGATTTGTAACTAAGCCTGTTGTCGGTGTGTTTGATTTAGCAAGTAACGTGAGTGAAGGTTAGTAATTTATAATTTATTATGACAATTCATCGAGGAAAGTGATCAACAAATAATAATGATAATAATAGGTATTCGAAATACGACCACTGTATTCGATGAGAATGATATCGCACCCGTCAGACTACCACGATATGTTGGACGCGATGGCATTCTAAGGGTATTGTATTGATTGTTGCTAAAATTTATTTCAATCATTTTTTACTGAACTTTGAACTTTATTTATTTTGTCTCAACAACAGCCGTATGATCTTAAGGAAGCCGAGGGTCAATATTTATTAAAAGAAATCGAGGACGGAAAATATTTTAATGAGGAGTATTTGGCACATCTTGGTAATTATTTTTAACACACATATTACAAAAAAGTATGTTTATTAATTAGTAAATTTTCTTTATCAAACTATTTCAGATCTGAAGCAAGACGACATGACAGTTTTGTTAACGCGAACGCGCATCATGCAAATTCGAAAAAAGAAAATGAAGATGGAGTGGGAGGTCGCATTTTCAGGTAAACCTTATATAATTTTTTACTTATGATTTAATGAATTTTATTCATTTATTCCTCATTTAGATCTTCAAACCGTTTCTCTACAACCTGCTGGTATATTACTAATACTGCGAAATAACAATCCTGGTCCATTTATTCCGGTACCGGATAAGGATAGCAAAGAGTTGTTTGAAAAACATGTGGAAGAGATAATTAATGAGTATAACACGGAGAAAAGAGCTATTGAATAAATCATCCATCCGTAGCAGAATGTATAATGTGTAAATAGAAAGAGATAAATATATAAATATAAAACTTTCTCGGTCACGCCTTGAATATCAATTTTTAGTTGCCAGATTTTTGATTGATATAAAATAGCTATTACGCTAATTTCGAACATTCCAGAATAATTCACATTTCGTATTATAATGAAATTAATAGCAAATCTCTGGATATGAGACGAACCACAATACAAGGATATACTTAGGTCAAGCAAAATGACTTTGATCGTTAATATTGAGATGTACCCGTTTTTTTTATGCCACAACACTTTTCCCGGCGCTAAAATGTAAATCATCGGTGTGTGATTAAAGTGATATATAGCGGTGAACGTGCAAGATACAGTATGCCCTCTCTAATATTAACCTCATGGAACCAGCCTATTTTGTTGATTTATGCGGGGGTGAATATCATAGAGAGTTAGGATTAGGATTTAAATATTAATAAATTTACATTTTATAATGTATTATTAGTCAAATTAATTTTGTTATTATTCCTTTTAAGAATTTTAAGAGTAAAATGTAATTTATTTTTAATACTTTTAAGACTTTCAAAACTCTATAATTGCTTTACTTTTACATAATCTCTCATCTATATTTCACTCTCTTTACATAGATCTCTTTGCTTTCTCTATATAAATCTTAACTCTTGCTAGATATCATCTCTCTCTTTAATAAAAAAAATCAGTTATCTTTTTTTGTCTTTTCATTTCAGATATATTTAATTGAATATATCATAATAGACTGTTAAATCTTGTTATTATACATATTATTAAAGTGATTTACAGTGGCAATCAAAAATAATGCAACACTTAAATTTTTTACTAATTATAATTAGTAAAATACATATTTTTTCTTATATATAAAAGTTTTTAATTTTACTAACA